TGAACTACAGAGGATGGTAAAAACATAAAAGCCTCTTCACAATTAATCTCTGTTAGACTTAAAAAAAAAAGTGGGGTGGGGGAGTCTCTGACTTCCAGGCCATCCTGGTCTACAGATCAAGTTCCAGGTCTTGAATGACCCCTGGCCCGACACACAAAGAGCTGGAGATTCTGTTTTTTTTTTTGTTTGTTTGTTTGTTTGTTTGTTTGTTTTTTTCTCGGTTCACTGCTGATTTCTCATAGAGATCTGCAGTGAATTCAGAACTGATAGAGTTTATTTATTTTTTTATTTATAAACTTCATTTATTCATAACATACTACCTAATGAATTCTGTTTTTAAAAATCAATTTTGCAGTAGAGGACAATGCAGCCACTTTTGATGAGAACTGATAGACTAAGATCAGAAAGAAGAGGAGAACCTCCCCTATCAGTGAACTTGGGGAGTGGCATGCATGCAGAAAGGGGAGGGAGGGTGGGATCGGCAGGGGAGGAGGGAGGGGCTTATGGGGGGGATACAAAATGAATAAAGTGTAATTAATAAAAAAGAAAAGAAAAAAAAATCAATTTTGCTGTTTGCCAGACTTTCCTTCTGCCTCAGCCTCTAAAACACTGGAAATATAGGATTGTGTCATCAGGCCAAGGTCCCAATTAACCTTTTAGGTTTTGTTTCTGTCAGACCTTTTCCCCATTCATCACACTGGAATTCTTTTTTTTCTTTAAGAGCTTTTTATTTTTGAAATTAAAACATAATTACAACATTTCCCCCTTCCCTTTCCTCCCTCCAATTCTTCTCATGCCTCTTCTTGATCTCTTTTCAAAGTCATGCCTTCTTTTTTATATTGTTTTATATGTGCATATGTAATATGCACACTCATACATATACATTCAAATGTATAAATATATGAATACAATCTAGTCAGTTTGTTTAGTATTACTTGCATTATATGATTTCGGGGCTGACCAACTGACACTGAATAACCTATTTGGAAGCTCTTCAATGGGGAAGGCTATTTTCTTACACTCCCATTCTTATGTTGCTTATAGTTTTTGTCAAGGGATGGGACCCAGTGAAATTTACCCTTTCATGTTAGCATGTTTATTGGTAGTGTCCTTGTTCAGGTTTTGCTTAGGCAACCATATTGTTGAGGAATCATGGTTGAAGTTCCCCTGTCGTGTTTCTAGGAGACACAACCTTACAGCAGATTTCTGGGTTCTTCAGCTTTTATAATCTTTCTGCCTTTTCTGAAATTCTTACTGTTTCCTGAACATGATACTATGTCCTTTCACATGTATGATTACATACAAGTTATTCTTTAGTTTATAAAGCTTCTTTCATCTAGCCTGCTGATAATTAGTTTTCATTCTTTAAGGCCCAGTCCATTCATCTTATTTGTGAAGTATTCACATATTTTTTCTCATATTTTGGTGTTTTCTCCAATCACCTTCCCTAGAATTTTGAGTGTGTGCTACTAAAGCACATGCCATGTGCTCATCTTTAATTCCCTTTTTGTCAATATGTGGGATGGGAGTAAATGTTCATCAAATGAAAGGATAGATCCCTTCTTTTACACACAAGATTCCTCGTGTGTGTGTGTGTGTGTGTGTGTGTGTGTGTGTGTGTGTGTTTGTAAGCTAGAGGTCAACATTTAAGTTCCATCTGTCTACTTTTTAATATAGGGTTTCTCATGAACCTTACAAGTATTTTCCTTCATACTCAGCTGTTTTGTTTAGATTTTTATATATTTTTTAAGTTTTAATTTTTTTTTAATTTCTATGGATGGGTACTTGCCTGCATGCATGTATGTCTGCCATGTGCATACTTGAAAATCACACAGGCCAGAAGGTGTTGGGTCTCTTAGAATTGACACTATAGACTGTTGTAATCTGCCATATAGGTGCTGGTAATTGAACCTGGATCCTTGGCAAAGGCCATGTCTCCAGCCATGCCTACTGTTCTTTTTATTAATAAATATTGTCATTTGACAACTACACACAAGCATGCACAAACACACACACACACACACATACACACACACACACATTCTGACCATTCTTTCCCCACCATCCTCTCTTATCTCCCTCTCATCCCTGCCTCATTGATAGCAATCCCTTTAATAAATTTTGGTTTTATTTTGTTTTGTATGTATTTTAACCTGGGCCGTGTGTGTGACCAGTGGATTTCAACTACCTATTGGATGAAACCTGGTGAGGTCATCAGAGGGCATTTAGCTGAAGGTAATTGTTTCATCTCTCCTTGAATTTATCAATAGCAAATAGTCCATCAGTGGGTTTTAGGGGTCCAAAAGCCTCTTTTCCATCCATATTTGACTGTTGATGGGCCGATTCTTTTGCTGAGCCAGTGCATGTACCTGCAGCTGCTGTGAGTTCATGATCGCAGCAATTGCTGTGTCTCCTGCAGTAAATAGCAGTCCACAGACCTATTCCCTATCCTCAAGCTCTCATATCTTTTTCGTCTGTATTTTACATTGGTTCGGGGATTGTATTCAGGTCTTATACTTACAGAGCAAATACCTTACTGCCTAAGCCCTCTTCCTAGCTCTGTCTTTTCAAAAACAAATTTTAATTGACAGAAAAAAATGTTATATAACTAGGGATGAAGTTCTGTGATAGAACACTTAACTAAAATGTTTGAAGCCTGTGTTCCATTTTCAGGACAGCAAGGTACATATTTGTAGGGTACTATGTGATGTTTTTGTATAGGTATGCACTGCATAATGCTCAAATGAGAAAAAGCATCTCTATTTTCTCAAACATTTATTATTTTGTGATGAAAATATTAATAATTCTTCTTAATATACGATGCATTTTTTGCTATCTATAGTTACCCTACTATGAAACAGACCACAAGAAATCATCCTTACTTAGATTGTCCTTTAGATAGCTCAAATCCCTTTTTAGAGTGATAGATCTTTTGTGGTTGTTTAATACAAGGTCATGTTATAGGAGGCTCTCCTTAAACTTTCAGTCCTCTTTTCCTTCTTCTTTATCCTTCCCATCACTGGGAACCTAAATGTGGGCTGCCATTTGCAGTGCTCTTCCATTTTGACACCTTCAGTGCCATATTTTAGACTTTTCAAAACCGGAGCTCACAAGTTTTCAATTGTCCTTCACTATGATCTTGTAATCTGACTAGGATAAAGTAGTGTTTTCTGCAGATAGCAGATAATAGCAATTGAGTAAGTCTGAGCTTTGAACCCCTAGCTTTCATAAGAACAGTGACATTCCTTGCAAAATTCCAGGCAAAGGGAGGTCTCTTCCTCGTCCTCTTGTCTTAATCAGAGTTAATGCAGTTCATGGGTTTTTAAAAACAGTTAAACCTTTATACACCTCTACTGTGTGAGTCTACCATGAATAACTTCAATGATTTTGAAGGTTTAGAGACTGGGGATGTAGCTCAGTAACAGTGACCTTGCTTGGTATGGTAGGGCTTTGGGATCTGCTCCCTGCACTAAAAATATAAGCATATAGTTGACAGTTTGAAGCATCAATGAGAAAAGCCAAAATAGTGGAGGAAAAGTAGAAAACTCAAGAGGGCATGTTAGGAAAGTAAAGGAGGTTAGTTAGTTGCCTGGAAAGAGAAGGTTCAGTTTCCCACTAGAGACGGTGTTAGGCAAGTCAGTGTCTGAAGCAGTAATATTTTCTATGGCACCTATGTGGAGATTTTTTCTTCTAATTTTTTTGAGACAGATTTCTCTGTGTAGCCCTGGCTGTCCTGGAACTTATTCTGTAGATCAGGCTAGCCTTGAAATTACAGAGATCCACCTGCCTCTACCTCCACAGTTGCTGGTATTGGTGCAGATGCTTTTAAGTCCGAACTTCTCTTGGAGAGAAGATGTTAAAAGTATTGTCATGAAAGCTGAATTTGTGTCCAGCCTTGTCTTTTCAGAACATTGTGCTCATATATCAATGCACCTGCAGTACCAGGCTGCTTGATTGCTAAGGATAATCTCATCACGGTCGGCTACACAGTGTTTTCAGCCCAAGGTCTGGTACTGAAGGTCAAGAGGGCTGCTTTGAAAACACAGAACGAAGATCAGCACCCAATATCCTAAGCTTGTGCTCTTTCTCGGGTTTACCTTGTCTTGTGCTCATGACAGAAGAAAGGCCAACTCCTGCCCCATATTGTCATTTAAGATTAAGTGAAGGCAAGTCTTTAAACAATTGGCTACAGATTTTAATAGCACCTTCATGACTTTTCCAATAAGAGAATCCTCTTGGAGTCTAGGGATCTCAGTTAAGCTGGCCATGCAGCATTGCTTAGCCTCACTGGCCCTATGCCTTGGAATCTGCCTGGCCTTCCTTAGAAACCCAGTCATTCTTCACAGGGGTGCCCCATTCCCTACTTCTAGCTTCTGTGCTTCTTGTCTTGCTGTGTCTCCAGTTTTCCTATGGATGGGCAGTCTTTGTCTCTATTCTTACTAAATATGGGCTGGACCAAGGAGCCTGGTAGCAGTTAGATCGCCCTATAAGACCCAAGGAGAGAATGCCACGATTAGTGGGGCTAAAATAGGCTTTTACCAAGCAGTTGTCATTGGCTTTTTTGGCAATCAGGGAACCACAGAGAATCAAGGAATTATGAAAGGTCCTAAGCAAATGATTGGTCAGGATCTATACCCTTTTCTTGTTCAAGGCCCCTTGCTCAATGCCAAGATAATAACATATTGCTTGCCTATTCCAAGTGAGAACTGTGTCAAGGTCATTCTGGAACAAGTTACTGACTTTTGCAGGTCTCCCAACCCCAGAAAGTGTTGCCAGCCTTCCAGTCCCCTTTCCCCTCTGAAAATTCCCAAACCCTCATCTCCCACTTGTGGCCAGGGACTCACTAACCCAAAAAGAACACAGGTAGACAGTATCTCAACTCTGACCCAAAGAGACAGCCTCAGATATTCTGGGATCAGCCCCCACCTCTTTGCCTTGCAAGCCTCTCTTAATCTGACCACTTGTCTGAGAATATAGGAGAGCTCCCGGTGGCAACTGACCTGAAATGCCGCCCCCCACCACGATCACGTCGCATTTGTTGCTCATGGTGCTCGCCAGGTTCCAAGCGGCCTGCGTCAGCTGCTAGTGTGTCCGGACCTCTGCTGGCGCCAGCGCTACGCACCACCCCCTCACACTTAAGCCCTGGTTAAGCAGCTATATGCTGGCAAGGCGCCTGGACTTTGAGCCCAGCCGAGGCCATCACTGATTTGCATACAGGGTGGGGCTCTCAGCCCTCGCTACCGCCCCCTGCCCTACAAGCCCAGGCGTGAGGAGGGCTGACACCCTAGCTGAGAGGATGACCTGGAACCTTAAACTCCCTTTCCCTAGTTTGCCTTCTGCAAAGTATTTTCCAGTCGCCTCGTGATCACTCTGTGCTGCTGAGGAGCTGGAAAGTCTTCCGAATAGGGTGTACAACTGAGAGTCTTTCAAGCACCAGACGCCGTATTAAATGGATTAAGATTCCGGTTCAATTTTCAAAATTTTCAATTTTACAGAAAGCAGACAAAGTACTAAGTAATATGCGAGAAGATTTGTGTATGTCACCTTGGGTGCTTAAGGGATACTTCTAACATAGGACCCACAGCCATCTGTAAATCCAATCTCGGGGATCCCATGTCCTCTTCTGGCTTCCAGTGAGCACCAGGTATGCACGTTGTGTTCAAAATCACATCATACCCCAGAGCTATGTATGATTAATATATGCTTACTTGCAGAACTATCATTCCCAGCCCTACTCATCTCATTTTAATCATCTCCTACACACACACACACACACACACACACACACACACACACACACACCATGCCACTGTTTAATTAATTGTAAAATGTTGCTCTAAACATTGTGAATGAGGTGCCTAGCCTAAAGACATCCGATTTTCCTCACTTTACAAGGGATTGGAAAATTTATCTTCAGGAGCTCAGTGGTAGAGACAGAATCTCCCTTACCTTCATGAGGCTCACATTTCATTTGGAAAGAGAGTCAAGAAGAGTGATCACTAATGCAATTCTTAGTGTCACTCTAGGACATGTATGGGGGAACGATAACCTAGTCAGATAATCATGGAGGCCTACCATGAGGGAATGGCATTTCTACTGGGATGAATAAAACTTATTGAACTAGTGAGAATGATAAACATGCACAGCAGAGTGAACAATAATTCTAAATTGAAAGGCAAGCCTAAAGCTGGAACATTGGAAGAAAGGAATGCAGGCTGATGCAGAGTCCACTCTCCCCTCTTTTAGGACTATGTACAAACAGCTTAAAATTAACAACATGGCAGTGACTGATTTAACAATGAATAAATGATAGGAAGCATCATTTGTTTCTGTGTATACTCCTGTCTTCTGTCCCCAGCTAGATAACAAATCACTGGAGAAGATGTGTTGTTATGTTTTATTCATCCATTAAATAATAATTTATTTATCATCAACTTGATATCAGACATAGTATCCATCATTTGACATATGACATAATAAATTAAAATTGATTCTAATCATAGGAAGACAAAATATAAAAGCAGATAATTACCAGAAAACTAATTTACTTCCTATCTGAGAAGTGCTTGACACCTCCCACAAAGCCATGTACAAAGGTGCTGTTTGCCCCTAGCAGGATTTATTTGCCTGTTCAATTTTATGAAATACACGTTTCTTTCATCAAATAAAATGAGCATGTTTTGCTTTCATTTCTTTTTCATTATAAGACTGCCAAAGAGATAAAAATATCGTTATTACTTCTTTCTTGCTGGCTAGCTTTTCATTAAGGGATATTTCAGTGAATCTCTTATGCCACAGGAGGTTTCAATAAAGAGGCAGGCTGTGTAGAACACAATGCACCAGATACTATCTAAGTAGTACATTTTGCCCTTTTTTTAATGCTGGAAGCTTGGCAGGGGATAGAAAATTCATTTTTAAATTAGATTCTTTAGAGCTTACATGTTTTCCCCCAACAAACATGTTAATCTTTTTTTTTTCAAACATGTATTGAAGAGTAAAATGGTGAAAGGAACCAGCATAGACAGCTCTTTCTTAAATAATGTTCAGTTGAAAGTGTTGTGAGACCTGTGGTGCATGCAAATATTCTCATCTTGGATGCTAGTCTGAGTGTTGTTTGGAATCCAAGAGTTATTTATGAGGTGGAATAATGAAGCCCATAAATTGGAAGAGCTCAAGAATCTAAACCTTACTCAAAAGTCCATAGGCTGGTTTAAGATGAAAAAGGAATTTGGGCATGGTGTCATAGGCCTATAATACCAGTATTTGGGAGGTAGCAGCAAAGGGAACAGGAATTCAAGGCCAACATGGCTATGTGATATTCTGTCTCAAAATGCACACAAACAAACAAAAAAAAGGGCAAAGGGAAAACTTCTCACAGGGACAGAAGACTTGTAAAGAACTGGGTAAAAGTTGTGTCAGCAAGGAACAAGCCAGGTGACTTAATGTAACTGCCCAAAAGCTTTGCTGAAGCATTAAGCAAGCTTACTGAGACATGTTAGGAATAAAAAGGAAATCATTTTTTCTATCTGAAGAGCACAAGCATAGCTCTTTTCCTATAACATCTTTGTCATAGAACAGGCAAGATGTGAATTCAGAGACACTTTACAGAAAGGCCAATCTTAGAATGCATGGAGTTTGATAAAGACACCAAGCTGCAAAGCTTCAGAAAAAGAGCAGGCAGCCTCTGATATGCTATAGAGAATAAGGAAGAAGACAAAGACCTCATGTGTATTCTAAGTACCAGCTGATCATTATACAAAGTGAATGCTTGCTTTTTTTTTTTTTTACAGCGACTAATATTGACAATAAAAGTATTTTTGTTGATCAGAAATAGGGTCCTAAAAATAGGGTCCTAAGCAGTGAGTGATATCAGAACAGATGACATGGCAAACCTGTTTAGAGCAGAGAGAAGGACATTATTATTATTATTAAATAATAATAATTAATATTAAATAATTATTCTTTAATTATTATTAAATAATCATAATTATGAACTCAATAAGTGAGCAGATCTTTATTATATTCATTTATTTGTTTGCTTCTTTGTTTATTATTTGAGAAGTCCATCCATGTGTACAATGCATTTTGATCAGATCCATTCCCCACTTTCTCTTTCAACAGCACCCACAGCCTCCCAAAACATCCTTCTCCAAACTTCACATACTCTTTATTTTTATAAACTTATAAGTCCAAATAGTGCATAGTGCTGCCTTTTGTGCTTGAAAGTAGAGTAATTCACTAGAGCATGTCCCACATCTGCCAGTAGCCACACCTCTGATGAAAAAGACTCTTCCTCCCCCATCAGTCATCAACTTCAATAACTCCTCAGCTATGAATAGGGGCTCAAGAGGTTCTCACCCATAATCCATTATGGAATATTGACTAGCTTTATTTTGTGTAAGTAACTATAGATGCTGGTAATTCATGAGTACATCAGCCACACCATGTTCAGAAGACATCATTGTATGAGCACTCTTGAAGCAGGCAACCAAAAGTCTATCCACCTAGAACTCCACCTGACTTGTGGTATGCACACAACTCTCTCCTAATAATCCACTTGGCAACCAAGGTGCCTTACCTGCATACACACACACCTCTCTCCAACCAATGTCCCTAAGCATCATCTCCTACCTCCAGTTTCTTAAACTGTTTGAGTTCCTGTCCTGACTTCCATCAATGATAAACTGTGTATAAGAAAAATCCTTTCCTTCCCAACTTGTTTTTTGTTCATGGTGTTTCATCACAATAACGGAAACCCAAACTAAGACAGTGTGTGTGTGTGTGTGTGTGTGTGTGTGTGTGTGTGTGTGTACATTTTTATTGAAGAGTAATTGTCAAATTAAATTGTTTGTATTTAAAGTATTCAAAGATGTGATGAGGACTGATATATATTGCGATATAATCACCACAATTTAATTAACAATCAAACAGCATGAAGTTGCATATTTGTGAATATGTATGTGTGTGTGCGTGTGCATGTACCTGTCAAGAACATTCAGACTCAGTAACAATACGGTATTGTTCACTATGCTCACCATACTGGGCCTTAAATGTCCAGAAGTTATGCATCTTATAATTTTATTTATCTTAACATTATTTACCTTAAAACTATTCATCTTATAAGAATATATCATTTGACCACGATCTCCGGCATACCCACTCTTCATTCTTGGCAATTGTCATTATAATTCTCTGCATGTAGAGATGGAATGGAATTTGTTTTTAGGTTCCACATATAAATAAGATCAGACAATGTTTCTTTTTTTTTCTCTGTCCAGCTTCTTCCACAATTGTAGTACAATGCCCAACAGTACCATCCGCATTATCACAAATGACAGGTTTTTTTTTTCTCTTTGTGACTGAATGGTACTCCATTGGTTATATATACAACATTTTTTCTACCCTTCCATTAACTGATAGACAGTCCATAGCTGGCTACTATAAAGAGATCTGCAAGTAAAACAAGAGTGCTGATATCATGATGACATTCTCATTTCATTCCCTTTGAATTAATAGCCAGATGTATAAGATGATATAACATTGTAGCCTTGCTGTACATTTCTTTGATAACTGTTGATGATGTACACACTGTGTGTTTATTGACCTCTGGTATACTTCTTTAGAAAAATGTACATTAGGTTTTTGCCTAATTTTTTCCAAAATAGAGTTACATGAGCTGCTTACACATTTTGGTTGTTATCTTCCCATCAGATATTGAGTTATAAATATGTTTCTCCCATAGTGCTGTATATCACCTGGAAAATTGCTAAAATACTTTATTTTTAACATTAGCATCACAAAAGAGATAAGTTAATGAGATAATAAGCATATTAATTAGAGGAAGATACTTGTTCTCTAGTATATACATATACCAAAACATGATATTAAAACTGGGCATCGTGGTGCATTCTGTGACTCCAGCACTTAAGAAACACACAGGAGAATAATTTGAGATCAGCTTGGGTTGCATAGAGAAACTTTGTCTCTAAAAATTTCAAAACCAAAGCCAAACAAACAAAACACATCAGATGGTTCTCTGATGGTAACTATATATATAATAGTTACATGCATATACATGTTTGTTTTTCAGTTTGATATTATTTGCTTATTTAAAAATTAATATTGGTGTTTAACAAGGAAATT